ACCAGAACTGCTAGGAGCAGAACCTTCTGGACGGTTCTGGACCCGTTTGGTTCTGATCGTCTTTCTGATGGTTTTTAGTTCCTCAGTAATTTTTTCTTTAGTTTTTGAAATTAATATTTAAAATTTTCCTTCAGATTCAGATAAATTTTTTAAAATGTTAAAATAATTAAAGCAAAAAATACAGAAACACCAAACTGACAGTTAACAAGTTTATTAGAAAAATAAGTTTATCATGTACAGTAGAAAACATTTAATCTGCAGAAACACACACACACGCAGAAACACACACACACACACAGAGTTTTCAGATAACTCTCTGAAAGCAGCTCATCAGAATCCGACCAGAACCTCGGTCCAGATTCTGTTTAATGGCAGAAAAGCAGCAACACCATCCTGTGCTCGACTACATCTCCCACAATGCCTTTCACCTCTGAGCCACCAAAGGAAGCCAGGCCAGCTTTCTGACCCAAACGGTTCTGGCTCTGGACCGGAACCGGGTCTGCAGAGGGAGTGTGGGTCGGGTCATGTGACCGCTCCGGAACAGAACCGAATGAACCCGACGACCTTCAGGCTGCAGCTCCATCTGTTGCCATGGCAACCCCATCCTCAGCTGGGGAACCAGCGACCCGGCAGAGTGGAGCCGGATCATTAGGAACCAGAACCCGGTTCTGACCGCCGGTCCGGTTCTAGAGCTGGGCTAACGAGGCATTCAGGGTGAGAAATAAAAATCAGAAAATGGAGCTTTGCAGTGATTTTTGTTAAAATCCGTTAAAATTTGATCAGTTTCTGATCTGAGGAAACGGATTTAAAAATGATCCACTTGATAAATTTATTTTACATTTACGTGAAAAATATGACGACGTCAGATAATTTGCTTTTTAAGCACGTTGAATAAGTACATGATGCTAATAGCAGGGCTAGCTTTTAGCTTTAGCTAACTTTGAAAATGTTAGCTCCAACGTTTTCTAGTTTTATTCAGAATGTTTCCTGGTGTAAATGAAACCAGTCGGGTTATTTATGTCCTGGGAGAAACCAGGACTTCTAGTCGCCAAATTTGTTAAAAGTTTGAGTTTTGTGCTGCTCTGATGGAGGTCTGGGTCCATTCGAGGCGGTTCTGATAAACATGTTTGACTAACTTCTGCTTGGCGCCTGATGGACTCACGCCGGGGTCCGTTGGGTCCCCTCCTCTGGGCCAGAACCGGAGGCCTGAGGACGGCCTGGGCCGGGGCGAACCTCCGGCGCCGTCCGGTCTGGACTCTGGTCCTCTGAGGTAGTTAGCGGTCGGCTGGAACGGCTCGGCGCTGATCCCAGATCATCGAGTCCGTCTTCAAAACAAAACCAGAGTTCACTCCAAGCCAGCGGCAAAGCTTGGTCCAGAAGGATCCCGTCCAGCGCCAGAGGTTCCTCTGAGTCAGCTGACCTTACCATTCCCTCCAGCAGGGGGCGCCGCCCGGCCCGGCCTCACAGCGACTCGTCAGCGGCGACCTCCGGCCCTTTTTCCTGCTAGTCGGGTAACAAAAGGAAGAATTAGAGACGGAAACGAGACGCTGCACATCTACACTCATCATCTGCTGCAGCAGGGAGCATTCACAGCCTGACAGCGCATGCATGTGTTAATGCCCACGACACGCTAGCAGGACGCGCTAGCAGGACGCGCTAGCAGGAGACGCTAAGACAGCAGGGAGCGGACAGGTGAGCAGCCATAGAGCTAGACTGGATAGATTGACGCTCAGGTGAGTCATGCAAAGAAGCAGCAGCACATGCAGGGTTAGCAGTGGTGGGCACGCTTCCGCTAATGCGCTAATAGCGGTGCTAACTATTACCTTAGCGTTTTAGTGAACTTTGAAATCATGTAGCAAACTTAGCTTCGACTTTACTTAAGTATTATTACGAATTTCTTGTATTCTACGACTTTATTCACGTCTTGACTTTTTTATATTAAGATTTTTTGCGAATGGTGACTTTATTCGTTTAATTCTCAGAAATAACATTTATTTTCTTAATTTTTTCTCGTAATATTGCGACTTTCTTATATTATTACAAATTCTTGCTACATTACAAGGATATTAGTTGTAATATTACATCACCACGAATTTATTTTGGTAATATTACATTATTATTGCATTATTACAATCTTTTTATTACTTTGACGTAAATTCCAATTTTATTCTTGGATCATTACGAAGTTAGTCAACAAATACTTATAATGAAGTTTAATAAAAAGCAAACAAAGTCAAAGCGCATTACAGAAAACGTCTAAATGAACTTGATGCTCGCGGCTGCAGTGTTCGGCGTTAGCGTCCACTGAATGCGGCGTGGCTAATGTGCTTAGCGCAGCTAGCTTGCCGGTTAGCGGTCCCACCACTGCGGTTAAAATCCAGCAGGGAAACAGCGAGGAAGATCCTTCTGGGACAAGAAAAGCTTCGCTCAGACTAAAATCAAATTGTGCTTCGACTCCCCCCCCCTCAGCTGTTGATGCTGCGTCCAGTGAATTTAGGACACCAATTTGTGAGACATTTATGTTTTTGGACATGAGAGGAACTGATAAGGATGGAGTATGTCACTACACATACAGGAGTAGGTGATCTGGGATCTGATGGCATGCAAGGTGACGCTGGAGCACGGGGCCAACCCTGGCAAACCTTCAGTCCATTTCTTCCACAAGGAGCCTTAAATTTGAAGGAAATTTGAAGAGAGAATTTGCCCAAACATGAATTTAACACAATTTGAAGTAGTTTTTGTACACGAGTGTGTGTATGTTTATTAAAGCAGACAAACAGCAGAGAATACAAGCCGAACAGGACTGCTGGGTCCTCTGGTTCTTCTCAGGAACAACACACGCAATACAAATCGTCATTTCAGCGCTTTAAATACATGTTTAGGAGACAAACGCTTTGTTGCTGTTAGCTACTCAAAACATGGAAACCAGAGTGTAAAAACATACAGAAAGCTTGAGCTGCAGCACAAATCTGCCTCTAAAAAACGGCCTTTAAAAGTGGTCAAAACAAAGGGAAGAAGAAGAGCAGTTCGCCAGAAACAGGTGGGGGTGGGGTTATGTTTGGAGTCCAAGCTGATTTTAAAATATGTACACAGATCTTGCCAGATGTCACCAATTTGGAGGAAAACCTGCAGGCAACCAATCAGATCGAGTCTGTAACCAGCAGCGGTTTGTTTTAGAGCGCTACTGGTTTCACTGGTTTCACTTCCACTGCTGCCCAAAAGAATCCTGATAAAATTCCTGGTTGTCAGATTTGTACCCGGAATAGTTACCAGCATGGTCCCCGCCATGGAGCGGCTGCTGAGCAATGGGTTGGGAGCCCCAGTTCTGACTATTGGTCTGGCGGCGCTTGGAATCTGGCTGGCTGTAGCCGTCAGCTTTCCGCTTTCCTCCCACATTTCCACCGCGGCCGCCCCGCGCACCACGTACCCCGCCGCGCCCGCGCGCCGCCGCCACGCCT